TAATTTTAATCAACACTTAAAAAAAAAAATGTAAATATAACTTATAAATAGGTTGTTATAAAATAAGAGTCAAAATATTTCAGAAATAATTATTTGTATAGAAAATGCAAATTTAAACATTTGGTAATAATTTAAAACATCAGCCACTGCAGATTCATTTTTGCATAAAATAATATAACAAAATCGATTTCAACTAAACATTTTCAGTTTTCCTTATTTTGTTTTTACAAATTATTTATTCAAAAAAATACAAAATTTTTTATTTTTGAATCCTCAAAGTATGTACAAAATAGAATAACCTTTATACCCTAAAGGATATTAAAGTGTTGTCATAAATTAATCAGTAGAAACTTTCTATAAATATTAAATTGAAAGGAATTTATAAAATTAGTATTACTTTTTGTGGTATTTATAAATTAAGATTTTAACTATAAAAATATAAGTTTAGTTCAATGTTATTCAGACCTGTAATATAGACCTTTCCTTATAAACCAAAAAAAGCTATTTTCCCTCTATTAGATATGACCCTGATTTTTTGAGTTTACTTTACACCAGTTAAAACATATTTTTCAAAATTTAAATTGTTAATTTATTATTTAGTACATATTAAAAATCATTAAATTAAAAAGATGTAAAATGTCTTATCCTCTCATAACAACTTAATGGTAACCTATTACACAACTATAGATGTAAATATTGAGTTTGTATTTTAATAAACCTAGTTTGTTAGTTGCTACTATCTATTAAAAATCCATAGTTTGTAAGTTTTACAAAAAAAACTGTCAATTATACTAAAATAGTAAAATTTAGCTACCTGCGAGTATTAGAACAATGTATTTAATTAAAAATGTTCTAATACAAGTTAAAAATTTAAAAAAAAAAAATCACTTATTTAAATATTTACATATTATACTAAAGTACAATAAGCAAAAATAAAATTGTTTATAAACAAAAGTTTATTCAATAAAATAATGCATATTATAAAGTAATATAATCTACAAAAAAGTTTTTTTCTTTAGTAACTAATAATTTTTTTTTTAATTAATTATTGGTCAGATAATTTTTTAAGAAATCAAAGCATTGATGCCTTCTTTTAATGTATCTTTTTATAAATGTCAAATTTAGTTACTTAGATACATAATACATAATTTTCAAAGAACATTTGCTTTAAGTTATATTTATAAATAGGTACCTGTTGTTTTTATTCAGATTTTTATCGAGAAAATTAACTTCTTAATAAATTTATTCCACCTCACATATAAATATAGTTAATAATGACTAAGGTCTCAACAACTCTAAATTGGATCAAAATCAGATCAATAATGAATCTAATGAAGAATCTTTACCATGCTTTGTTTTTCGTGAGAATTTAAATTTTAGACAATTTACATTTTATTAAGTATTTATAAAAAAAAAAATTTTTAAAAATGGCATATTCATAACTTTAAAAATTTGCAAATTAAATGTATATAACATTGTATTTTATAAAATGATGTCTCATAGACTATATTAATGCTATATAAAACTGAAAAATATGATTAATTATTTTTTACATAGTTACAGATATTTATAACACGATAAGAATTAATATATAAATTTATAAATATTATGTTAATATAATTCATAAATCAGATGGAAAAAATTGAAAGAATGTATATAATCATTATAAAACTTTGATTAGCTTAAAATTAATTTAATTAAAAAAAAAACAAGCTGCAAAATCTATAAGTTAAACCAACACAATTAATAAAAATAAAAATGAATTTTGTTTATTTAATTTTAGTAAGTTTAATACATAACATAATTTGTAAATTATATTAATAACTAATCTCTGGAGATACAAAAATATAATGAAATTATTTTGAAAACTCCTTACTCAAGTCTTTTATTTATGAATATTAAGTAGTAAACAATAAAATTTTTACTAATTTTTGTTTAATTAAAATATAAATAAATTTTATTTTTTTAATATTATTTATTTTTTAAATTATTTAACTTTCGATTTAAAAATATTAATTTTAATTCAGCATACAGTATATCATGCAATTTTTATGTATCATTAATTATTTTCTATTAAAAAAAGTTAATAATTTATAATATCTTTTAAAGGAAAAATGTATTTTTATAATTTATTTATAATGCAAAAATATAAATATTATTGTAAAAATAAATAAAGAGATTTTATAATAATGTATAGATGATCATAAACAAATATTTTTAAGATATTTTAATTTATCAAAAAATATTAATTTATCATTCAAACATAATTTTGCTATTTGGAATTGTAATAGTGACTTTACATCTACATACCAAAATTTACAACATGAAAAATTTAATCTTAAAAATACTGGATTAATATTTTTATACGCAAGTGCAAATATTTACAAAAAAAAAAAAAAAACCTAAACTATTTTATTAAACTATTCTAGAAAGTCAATGTTTTCATATAGATATCTATAATATACAAATATTTACAGTTCCTACATGTTAAAAAAATAATACTCAAGTATACACAAGATAAGAAATATATTATATATTATGTGTATGTTTTATTACAATTATTTACACAATATGGTATGATATCTACTCATCTTTTTTTATTAACATTACATTCTTACTTTATTAAAAAAATTAAAAATATTATAAACACAATAGTAATGAACACAATTTCTTGTTATAATTTACTGATAAAAACATTGATGATATAATTTTATTCTTTAATAAAATTTTAAAATTAATAATTTCTTTTACATATCAAAAAACAAGTAGATTTTAAAACAGACGAGAATTAAAAAAAATACTAATACTCATAATATCATTTAGCACTTTAATTAGATACTCGGTTAATAGTATAACAATGTTTATATTACATTAATTTTTATAAAAATTTTATATTTTATTATTCAAATTTGTGCAATTGAATAATAATAATGAAGAATTAAATTTTATCTCAGGAAAAAAGAAAACAAATTTTTGTAACTTGGTACACTTACAAAATTTACAAACACATTATTGCATAAAGAATATTGAACAATTATATTTGGGGGGACTATTTAAGAGTGAAAGTCAAACCATTGTTTTTATTTATCCTGGTTATATTAAATTTTTACTTTCTAAGCTAATTAGTTTTACATTAAATTCATTGCTGTTATTATCTTTATATGATATTACATAAATTTAATCTTAACTAGCTTAATTGTAATTTTTTTATCAAACTAAAGTCTATGGTAGTACGAGTCTATTCTAGAATACTATTATGGGTTCCTTTGTTAATATGCAAATATTGTTAAACTTAAGTTGTAGACAAATTAAATGTTTCTTAGAGATTATTTTAGTTGATGCAGTTGTCCAAGGAATATTGTCATCAATTCTGACTTGTTCTAAAATATCCTTTTTATGATTTGCAGAACGCCACTCACATAATTTATTGATACGACATCTATTTCTATAAAAATAGTTAAATAAATAATTAATAATGTGTAAATAATATTATAATAACTAAGGCTCAGAAGTTGATAACTTTTTAATTATAGTTTAAACCTCTTGGTCAATTTTTCTCATTGCCTCTTAGTCTTAGTCCAAGCTAATAATGTGTTTTAGTACATCAACTTATGAATCCTAATTATAACAATCTAAATCATATAGTGTTGATTACAATATGATATCATATTGATGGATCATGGAATAACATTGCTTTTGGAATACATACCAATTTTAAGATAATAGACATTCATTATACAATAATTTTTCTGCCAAAATCTGTCCTCTTCCTGAAAATATAAAATAATTCAATATTATTTTAATTTAAAAAACTAATTAAACATTATTATTCATAACATTTATAAAATGGAAAATTCTAGTTTAACTTAAAAATAAGTGCCATTAAAAAAAAAAAAAATTTAAGTAAGAATTAAACTTTAGCACATTTTAATTATTATTTATTGATACTATGGACTTCATAATGAAATGTAAATTCGATCCCAATATATAGGTATTTATTTTAACTACCTATTTGTTTAATTACCTTCATAATTATGAAGTAAATTTGCAAATTAAAAATGTATAATATATAATATTCAAAGTAGTATAAATGTCTTACCTTTGAAACATAAAACATACACGGGTATTCAAATTGAAAAGTTGTTTTAATATTGTCATAAGATTTAAGCATGGAATAAACTACAAAAAATTAATGAGTTCAGGCGTTATTTACAGCTTTAAGTAAATTTTTTCATCTTTCTAGTAAACTGGAAAACAAAATGCAAAACACCATAAAATGTATGATTAGAATTAAAAATACGAATATTCCTGGATTTAAATTCACTTTAATACCCATAGTGTCAACATTTTGAATAAGAGTAGATGTATTGTTCACTTTAGCACACAGCTCTCGAAATAACTTACCTATACTTTGATTTAGCCAAAACATTCAGCAGTCGGACCAACACGTTCTAATCCTGAATCTATCTCAATCAATCTCTTAGTCTTTTGCATCGAATGATCGTTATTTTTTAGAAACTTTGTTTCTAAATCTTTTGTCAATACCGGAGGGCGGAGAGCACCGATAACACAAATCAAAATGATAATGTCTAATTCTCGATGCTTCAATTCAATAGGTCGACCAAATCTCAAAACACTAACGCGTCGTTAAGTCAAACTTTATATCAACAATCTGTACCGACACCACCGGAACACCAACATTCCAGTTCAATACTTAAGTCTAATAGTACAGCAGTTAGTAGTTACCGACATTTTCATTATTTTCAACGACACTGGCGTGTGGCGCGTATTGTTTATCTATTATCACGCCGAGACCGCAACCACTGCATGTTGGGCGTTTAGTACATGTATCGAGCGTACCCGCGTTCGGGTGACCACATCTGTCGAGTGATAACGACGAGCATTGTTACCAGAGGGCATATTACAAAACCGTCTGTGCGGTAATAACTACAACAACGATTACCGCAACGACGGTTGATAACGCGCGCATTTGGCCCTTAACGACTGACGAGCCGCGGCGTCCGTGAACCTCGACTCCACCGACGACGACAACCGCAACGACTAGCTAACCGACGCCGAGCCGTTTACCGCCAATCGCGAGAACACTGCGCCGACAGATCGATCGCCTAGCCACCACCTATCGCTGACCGCCGTCGATAAAACGTCGCGAATCGCCCGAACACGTCGAAACGGTCTACTACGACGTGCGCACAGTCGTCGACGCTCGTAAATACGTAACGACAAACATGATGTCAGTATTATTATTTCGTCCCGTCGCCCGCTGAAACCGATCGATCGTCCGACGGATTTCCCGTCCCGCGCGCGAACCGATAGCGAATAGCGATTATTATTCGATCGGCGGCGGCCGACGCGTTTTTTCTCGCGCTCATCGTTTCAGACTCGCCACCGTCAAAATTCCTTGTCGTCGTGACATGTTTAACGCGGTACAATCATTACAGTCATTACACACGCACTACCACCGCCGTCACTGCAACACCAAAACAAACCGCCATCGGCGCATAACGGCCGACGTTTTCAGTCGTCCCGTGTAAGAGCGAATCGGTCAGGGCGATTGTTTTCTTTTTTCGTCGCCATACCACCCAGCGATCGACCGAGGAACTCGACGCTCTAACGCGTGTCTGGTAACATTTTTTCCGCCACAATGGCGTTCAACGACTCCGCTCCAGTGTTCGCCAAGGGAAATCCGATCGGCGTCTCGAACAGACACACCTGCAAGATGCGAAATAAAAGAATGTGGAAGTCATTACGCGCGCACATCTTGTCGCGTCGAGAGAAGGACAAACAAGGTGCGTTTCCGATTTTTAACAACCCTCGTAATCGGTTCATTTCTTCGCTCACGTAATACAACGATAATATGCTTAATTAATTAAAAACACAAACATGAATTACAAAATATGAGTTATAGGCTATTCATTGTTTAATAATTTTAAACTGTTGACAGCCAATATACTTTTGTTTAATCGTTCTAATGTAACTAGTATTATTGGATTTAAACATACTCAGTTGACTAGGATTTTTTTTCTATCTAATTTTTAAATTTCATTGCAAGATTATTAAAAATATGTTATAGTAAAATTAATTTTAATGTTTGAAGTATTCTTGATTTTAATCTGTGTTTAAATGATATTTATTAGGCAGACATTAATTGTGTTAAAGCTATTGTATTTATAGCACTATATCTACAAAGTTAACAGAAAGAGATTGATAATAATTTAAAGAAAAATTGAATATAGTCTCAAATAAATAAGATTTTTAAATAAAAAACAAATTATTGGTATATAATGTGTTTTTTTATTTGTTTCTTAGCTGAAATCGATGCTGAAATTTTGAGAAAAAAAAAATGCGCAGAAGATCTGAAAATACAAGAAAATAAATTATCTTTAGCACAAATTAATGGTCGTTTAACAGAACTACGAGACAAACGTGATGTTCTTGAAGAAGAAAAACGTGAACTCCTGAATCAGAAACAAACTATTATAAATACTGTTATAGCAGTACCTGAGCCTAAGTGGTATATTTATACTATCAAATGTATATTTTTGTAAATTGATCATTAGGTATTATTAATCTATTATTCTGTAGGTCATATATTTATTTTTTTTGTTTTTCAGTGCAAACTATGATCGTAAATTAGTTACGAAAATCAAATTTAAAAGTAGTATAGTTTCAAGTATATCAATACTTGATAATCAACAACAACAACAACAACCACCACCACAGCAACAGCAGTTATTAGATTTGATGAAAACAGAACCTTGTATGGAATCTCCTCCAACTCCTCTTTTAGAAAAAGAATTCAGCCCAGCCTCACAACCTATTGTAATACCTACAGATATTAAAGGAAGTGACAAATCAAATTATTGGATAATACATCAACCAAATTAAATGTTATTTCAATAATAATTACTAAAACTTTAAGAAAACATTTGTCACTGTATTGCAGTCCATATTTTTTTTAAATTTATTTTTACAATGCAAATTTTATTTTTTAAATTTTGGCATTTTAATTTGTAACATATATTTCCTTTTTATCTATCTAATTTATTTTATATTATTGAAAATCACTATTAGTACTTATTATGTCTCAATCAACAAATGGTAATTTATAATTTAATTCACTGCCTCTTTTATTATTTATAATAGATATTTTACAATTATTTTTTTTCTTGTATGATTTAATAACATAATTAAAATGTAATTTGTAAAATGTCAATATATTTTAAAGGGTTATGTATTGGTTAATTTCCATTATTATAATTTACAATCTTAGCTTTTGTCTTATCTATTAATTTATTAAGATCTTCAACTTTTCCAGCAATGTTGCATTATTATTTTTTTATTTTAAGTTATTATTCATGAATTCGTGATCATCTGAATTTGTATTTTTTTTTAACAAAGTTGTTAATCAAATTTCAAATATTTTACCATGAATAAATATTTTTATATTCAAATTGTTATTAAATATATTATATTTATTTAGTATAAGATAACCATAAGTTGTTCATTAAAATTGTCGTCTTTAGTGTAATAGACTGATATTATAAAAACATTCAATTTACAAATATTAATTTTTACTAAATATGTTTTTGAATGAAATAAAAAAAAAAAAAAACTGTTACGTTTAAAAGTCATAATTTTTAGATTTCATTGTAATGTGATGATGGATTAATTAGTAGTTTTGATAAAAAATTTACAAAATTTTTTTTTTGTTTTTCATATATATTTTTTTTTTTTTTTTTTGAATGCTACCTGTTAAATAAACTATATTAAACTGTGGTTTGTTGTTAATATTTTTAGCTCTCTTAGATTTTGTGCATAGCTCTCTATTTTACTCAATTTAGTACAGAAATGATTTAAATTAACATAAATTACCAGTTCTGTACTTACCGTATTTCGGTGAAATATAATATGATATATTTTTTCTAATCTAAAATATTTATTACTTATTCACCACATTTCATTGCTAAATATGAATAATATATTGAAAAATTTAAAAATTTTTGTTTAAAGATATTGCTACAAACTGTTGATTACATCTAAAATTATAAAAATTATTTTGTTTTGTTTAACAATTGATATAAATAAATTTTAACAAACAATATTGTATTGCTATTGGTTAAATTATTTTTTGATTTGTATATTATAAATATTTTTGTTTTAAATTATATTATTGAAAAAAACGAAATTTATTTTAATAATAAATATTTGTTAATGTTTATGATATTTTAAATTATTTTTAAGAAGTAAATTTAATATGAATAAATTATAAATAATACTCATGAAAATTTGTATATTTTTTACAAACTTGTTTTTGTTGAAAAAACAATAAACAAATTGCGATAAATACACTCTTTGAGCTTTATACATATTTTTTGAGATATACATGCTCTATACATTTTATAAAAAAATCATTTGCAATTATATAATAATACCTAAAAATATTTATATTATTTATATATTTTATTATTGTCAAATTAATGAATAATATCTATTAATAACTAAGCAATAACTAATATGTAAAACTTGTCTATTTGCAACTGTTGATAAATACTGGAAAAATTAATTCTATTCTCAGTTTAGATACTCATAATTCGAGTCATTTGGAGTAGTTAGATTAAATATTCAAATACTAAACAAAAACATTATCATGAATAATTATTTGAATATTCCACAAGAATAGTATTGATAAATAATAGAAAACTTTTTTTAATTATTGTTTGTTCCCAAATATAGATCATGTAAAAATGATATTTGTTTATAAGAAAGTTTAAAATAATAGTTTATGTTAAAATTAATAACTTATAATTATTTATAATTTACAAAATTAAAATTTTTAGTATTAAAGATGTAAATTTAATTTTAAAGCTATTAGAGTAGAAAATTTTAAATATCTATTAAGAATTTATTATGTGTGGAATGTCTATGTCTATAGATTAAGTAACATCGAAAAAACTGTTCATTGGTATAAATAATATTTTAAATGCACTTTAAATGTACTTATTTAACCTACTAATTTATTGGAAAAAATAATCGCTCAAAGAGAATGATTTTTTCAAGTAATGTCAGCAATTCAATATAAATTTGTACTCAATAACATATTTATGAATTCTTGTTGGAAAGATATTTTTATTTTAAGGCTTGTTAAATAAAAAATATGTTTTTTTACACTATCTAGAAAAGAATCTAATAATCTCATAAAGGAATTTAACTTATTGTAGAAAAAACTATACTTATGACCTTATATATTAACAAAATTAGTCTTAATCTTAATTGAATATTAATTACACAGATGTGTCAATGGAAATGATTAAGGTTTTTTAAATAATTGTATTTTGATAAAAGAATTGCCCAACAAGGATTCGTTACCTAGGTATTATATTTGATAACAATTTATGATGGAATTTCTTATCCTTAAAATTCATTAAGGAAGCTTCGTGTAATACATTATGCATTTTATAAAATAAAATCATAAACGGCTTAGTAGGTACCTAATCAAACATTGCATGTCATACATTTTTCCCCACTCCTGGTAATCATTCACTGTTAGTATGAGGTGAAATAGCTGATATTATACAAAACAAATTACAAGTAAATCAGAATAAAATTATGTGTATCTGTTTGAATTAGTTTTCTTTAAACATATCTAAAGGCAAAATTAAAGTTATTTTGATATTTTCTAACAAAATGTCTTATCAAATAATAAGAGTTTTTAAGAGTCTTGTTAAAGATTATAATAATTAAATCTACAGAGGTAAGAGGAAAGCAGATTTAATAATGTTTCAGTAAAATACACATAGGTCTTTATGGAAATCTTTTATATTAAATATTTAGAGCTTATTTATCTTAATTCCACGTCAATATAAGAAAAATGTTTACTGTACTTAAAATAATCCTAACAAAGTTAACTACATTTCGTGGTTTTTGATATAAGTTTTAGTTCTTTTCTACGTTAAGCCATTTAAACATATAAGCTTATGTGTCTTCATTGCAATACTATAGATTTTTATCTTTCTTGAACCTGAATACCTGAATATCTCTATATTGTACAGTGTACACACTTTGTTAAATATACATATAATAATCTCCATTTTTTTTTTTTTTTTTTGATCGATCACTTTTTTGAATCTTTCAATATATTACTTTCTATCTCTAATAGTCTAATACAAAAAAATTGGATAAAATAGATATTTGTGTAAAGTTATTTGTACATTATTTCTGTTTTAATGTATTTTGGTAATCAATTAAAAAAAAAATTCAGAATACAGCCTAAATATTTTTGGGAAAACCATTAAAGGTTAGTATGCTTAAAATTAAAAATATGAATATGTCCATATCAATAAAAATATTTGAATACTTTCAAAAATACAGTACTGATAATATGAAATTAATATTATCCTAAAATATGAGTAATATTTTAAAACTTTAATTCACTGATTTAACTTCCACTGTATGAAATAATAGAATAATTTAAAAATTATAATATTACATTGATACTGACAATAATTATTCAAATTCAGAATGATTATTTAAAAAAATAAATAAAAATATCATAACATATTTTACTTATTATGTGGTAATGCTCAAGAGTCAAGATAATATATTATATTCACAAGAATTCTAGTGATAGGAAGTATCAGGAATGATACAATCTAATAATTATGAAAATTGTCATTCAGTCTGTATAGAAAGAAGTTTCATTTAGAATGTTATCTTATACCGGATATAGTTTAAATACCACCAGACAATACAAAATATTTAAACATAACTTTATAGTAATCTATTAACACGTTTTAATATCATGACCTTGTAACAAAATAAGAAAACCAAGAAATAAGATAGGTGATATATCTTATAAACTAATAGATAAAAATAAAAAACTATTTTAATTTAGTTCTTTAGTCTAATTGTCTATTTCATATTTAAAAATTTTGTTGATCGTGTTAGGTATATTAAAGACTTATATGATATTTCATAATCATTAAATACCTTTATTACAACTTGAAATTGATATAAAATTAATAGTCAATAATAAAAATTAAATTTACCTAGTACATTTAAATAATATTTGTGATTATGTAGTAATTAGTTTTTATTTTATTTGAAATACTATAATGTTATCAAAACAAAAATTATTAGCTTCAATAGTGTATTGGTATTGTAATTTATTGTTGACGGCGAGACAATAATAGTATAAACAAACAATAAAATAATTATAAAACTAAGGTTAATTAGATAACTAATTATTTTATAATGTATATTACTGTGGTCATGCATCTTGAAAAAAATTATTTAATTTGACTCGTTTTTTTGAACGAAGTATAAAATAATATTCATTGAATGGTATTAAAAGATAATTAAAATAAAATTAAAAATAATATCAATTGACATCATTATTTTAAATAATGGTATAAAGTATAAACCAAAAAGTTTTTATATAAAACTAAGAAATGTTAAAAAAAAAAAAAATCAGAAAAGTTTCAATATTTTGTAGTAGTTATAATAGTCAATTATAGAAGCTGTTCTCAGTTGGTTGAAGCTGTAGTAGGTGGTGGTGTAGTAGATAAATTAGTTTTTGAATTTCCTTGCTGTTGATTAGGTTCTGGAGGTGGCGCAACAATGGGTATAGCCAGATTGACCCGTCTTGGGGGAGGTTGTTGTTGAGGCTGTTGCTGTGGTTGATAGTAAGTAGTCATGAAAGTTTCCTAAAATAACAATAATAACTCAATACATGATAGTTTTTTTTTTTTTTTGAAATTATACAAATTTTTTTATAAATTAAATAAGATTTAATATTAAAAATAGTGCTTATAACATATTTTAAATTAAAGTCAATGATAAACTTACTGGTTGTTGCAAAGATTGTGTTCCAGATGGTGGCGAAGTTACACCTGTAGCACCTGTTGGTACTGGTTGGTAAACAGCTGCTTGTGCTGCAAGCATCTGAAGAGCAGCTGCAGCAGCTGCTGCTGCTGCTGCTGCATTCTGATCATCAGCACTACCAGCTGTTGGACCCGGTGCAACTCCAGTTGCATATTGAGGTGTAGCATACATTTGATGATGGTACATGGATGGATCAGCTGCAGCCATGACCATCATACCAGTATTGTGATCAAGCACCATGCCGTGATGAGTATGTATTTGCTGCAAGGGTTGGTGGTACTGCTGTATTTGCATTGGTGGTGGTTGTTGATGAATTTGGATTGGTTGTTGCTGTTGTAATTGTTGAGGCGTAGGTTGCATTTGTTGTTGAGGTTGAATTTGTTGGTCTTGCATCACTATTCCATTTTGTTGCTGAGAAGCTGGAGGCTGTGACTGTGGTGTTTTAGATATTCCTCCAAAATTTAGTACTGGGTCAGGAAGCTCTCTGCGGCTTTGAACTGAGTAGCGTTTGGAGCTGCGTACAACTGGTGTAGGTGGTGCAGGTGACTCAATTTGTTGATTTTCGTTTTCATCTAAAATAGAAATATTTTGAATTATTATTAATTAATAATATATTAGTACAATGCTATAATTTTTAAGAGCTTACTAATATTCTTAAAGTAAATATATTAGTTTAAAAGAAAGTTTGGATTAAGATTAGACTCATGCATAAGTTGTATTTGACACAGATAGTTATAGTTATTGTTAAAAAGAATACTAAATTGCATCAATAATTTAATGGGTGTTATAAATTGTTGAAGAATACCTGAGAAACTTAAAAATGATACCATGCTTTATGTTGGAATACTTACACTGACGATTATTATAGTGTTGATAATGTCCGCTACCATGTTGTGTACGCCCTGTGCCAGCAGTATTAGGCACTACAGAATGATGTTGCTGATCATAGTTGTGTTGATTTGGACTGGATGAAGATGGAGGTATAGAACCCTTAGAAAAATATCTATCACGATTATATTGGTGCGAAGTATGATGTTGATGGAAATTACGGCTTCGAGAAGTTGATGGCGAAGAATGTTGGTGTTGCTGGTGATGTCCTGGGCTACCTTGACCACTATTAAAGTGCTGTTGCTTATAATTTTGATGTTGATGATGATTACTACTATTTTGTTGTGGTTTTCGGTTAAAAAAGTTTGAATTAGGCGTTGTTGAAGAAGAATCTCGATTTACTTGAGCACCTTTTTCTTTAGTAATTGAAGTCTCAGTTGAAGGTCGATTGAAATAGTTTTTATTGTTAGACGTTAAAGATGAAGAAGGCGCGCCGCCATTTTGCTGTTCTTGACGATTGTTTCGATTTGCAGGAGAAGTTGTATTATATTTTGAGGTTACTCGGGATGACGTAGTGTGGTTTCGAGCCTGACCAGTTTCTGCAACTGCAGCAATTGTCTTTTTTTCTTCATTTTGAACAGAAAGTGTTTTTGGTTGTTGTTCACGATTCTGGTTTGAGACTTCTGCAACTGCAGGAGATACAGTTGATGAACTAGGCTCTAATTTCTTTGCATTACCCAAAGCAGGAAATTCAGAGGTATAACCATCCGTTGTAGATTTCTTTAAATTTTTATTTGGACCACCAACACTGCGTCGAGCCATACCACCGCGTCTTACTTTCATAGACTGCTGTCCGCCAGCAGCACCAATGTAAGCTTTTGTGTCCTGCCAATTACGAGTATACTTGGTAGTTGCAGCTCGTCTAAAATAAAAGCAATTTTAATTATCAGTAATGGGTCTAAAAGTATATAAATAGTTTCTAAAATTAATTTACCCATATTTATGGTGACGTCGAGCTCGAGGTGCTTCCGACTCTTCCCTTATATCATATCCATATGAGGCCAGTAACTCATCACGACTTTTACGTGTCTGCTCGTTTTCATCATACATATCATGTGACCACTTATCTAAAGAATCTAAATCACGAGATTTTCTAGAACCTACACTAGGTTTTTTTGTCAATCCAACAGCAGTTACAGAAGTATCAGTGTCTTTTAATGTAGCAGCAACTTTAGATATCGCCAAGACTTTTTTAGTTGACATTGTTTTTCCTTCCTCAACTACTGAAGCAGTGTTTTCAGTTGCATCTACTGGGGTCACTGATTTTGGTTTTTTAATGCCTGTATGTCGTCTTCTAATGCGGCGACGACTAATAATTATAAAAATAAAATAATATAAATTTAATACCATACCAAATAGCATTATATTTTTAGTCACTACTCACTCGGAAACCACTCCATCTTCGTCTCCTGAATCTTCTTCATATCCATTATCTGATTCTGATCCTTCGGAGCTTGTTGTACTATAAGCCATACGGTCATCATGCTCATAAAATCTTCCACGTCTAGGTATGTACTGTGGATCATTAGTATCATCATCCACAGGTACAGGTACTGCAGGTTCAGTAGGTGCTAAAGCCTAAAATGAAATAACAACCAGAAAAAAAAATTATATTTAAAACTGATTAACAAATTATTATAGTATTAGAATAGAAATAATTGAATATGGAATAAAATTTAAGTTCAAGAAATATTTAATCACCATTTAGAAAAAACTAGACGGGTAATAAAAATACTTAATTACATAAAAAAAATAATTATGTAAGATAGTTAATTAAATCTGGAGACAGTGAAGATAAACTTCATCTAAATTAATACTAAGATGTCTTTACCTAACATAGTAAATGTATGTTAACAGTTCATATTAAGCTTTGATAGTTTTAATTTATCATAAACAAAAAATTATCTGTATTTATTCGATATTTCAAGCAAGTTATTAACACTTTTAAATTGCAATATTTTACAAAGGTATTCATGTTTTATTAGAAAATTTAAATAAATAATATATATTAAAAATTTACTAACCCAGAAAATTTTATTATCTTTAAGTTTGATAATAGATAAATTTACTATAGTATTAAAACTAACAAAACGCAACGTAAATTGCCAGTATACATTAGCTAAGATACATACTTTTGACAGACAACAACGTGATGTTTTCTTAAGAAAATTACTTTTTAAATTTTTTTTTTTATATCTTCAGAAAAATCAAAAGGTATTTTAAAGTTTAAAATTTGAGTTCAATAACATAAAATACTTAAATGGAACTTTTAACTCTGAGTACCTAGAGCAATTCATGTAGTGATTTTACAATATTTTTTTTTTTTTATGTGTACATAATAAGTAGTTGATAAAATGTTTTATTTTATAAAATCTTGATGGTAATTTTAGATAGAAAATAAAAATTTATACTTTTGAGAAGTCTAAAGTAAACCTTTTTTTTATAATCGGAAAAAACAAACAAAAAATAATAATGAATATAAATATACATTCATCTAAAAATTAAAATATGACCATTATCTCTCAGAATTATATTTTATATCCAATGATATATCAGTTAAAATTTAATACACTCATAATAGTGAATCACTTGATACCTAATGTACATCAAAGCGATACCAACTTGCCAATATTTTTTTTATACAAATTTAAACCTCATTATTAAAAATTTAATTTAATTAATCAAGAAACCATATTCAAAATTTGTCTTTAGAATTATACATCAGATTAACCATGACAGAGTATTCAATTAATATTGAAAAATTGGCTTTAGAGAAACAATGCCAATCACCAGATTAATTTTTTTTAAATCTAAATTTTAAATATAAGTAACCTAATCATTATAATTATAAAGGTAATTATACGTTAGTATAAATCTATGATGTACCTAATAATTTATGCATTATATAATATGTTTGTAATAAAACAAAATATAAATATTATCATTTTTTTTTCTTTTAGTGGCCCCAGGTTTTTTTATGAAAATGTCGATTGTCCTGCAAACTAAAAAAAGTTGGACCATCCTGGTGTATGTAATGTAAAATTATGTATATTAGATATATCAATTTAATGGTTTTAAATTTAAAGTGTTAATATGTATTCAATTATTGAAAAGAATATTTGATAGATACAGAATTTTGTAAAAATACACAACAAATACTATTAATAGCTGTGCTTAAAATAAATAAACAAAATAACTATAAAATATTAATTTAAATTATTATGCTCACATCTTTGTTTTCTTCATTATTGTCTTCTTCGCCATCACCTCGCTCTTCTTCTTGCTGTGAACAGCTCTCATCATTTGGAATATTTTCCTGTTGAATTACATCTTGAGGTTGTTCTTTTACAACACTATCTTCTTCATCATTAGTAATATACTCAACAGCATCTTCAAATCCACTACCAATTGTTGAATTAATTATTTCATCATACTCTGATTTTGATTTTATAGAGGTATCTAGATTTGTATCAGGGTTTTCATTGACTACAATTTCTTCTTCAATCTTAGATGTTGCAGGTTTCTGTTGCTCGTCCACAACTGTTTCATCTTGATTCTGTTTAATCTTATCTATCTTATTAGTTGATATTTTAGTAGATGCCATAGCTATATTTAACTGATCTTCTTCAACTTTGGGATCGTTACTAATGTCGTTAACGGTTGTAGTTGCAGTTTCACTGACCACCATCTCATGTTCCACATTTTTAGACGTTATAATCGTTTCCTGGTCTGGTTTAATGGGTGGAACAATTTCATTAGATGCTGCTATCAGATTTGACTCGTCAGTAGTAGTAGTAGTAGTGTTGTTGGCGGCAGTATCAGCGACAACAGGGGCAGTGTCTTCTTCTTTCGTGGTTATGGCAGCAATATCCATTATAGAGATGTAACGTTCAGCGGTTAGGGAAGTAATTATTGCACAATAATTATTATAACAATGACCGGTGTGTGAAAAACGAAATAAAAATTACTGAAGGTTTACGACGATATGAGGAGAAGCAGTAACAGTAGAAAACCGATGATTGTGATAAAGAAAAAAAATAGAAAAAAAAACAAAACGCAAAATACGACGCGAAAAATTGTACCAAATTGTTTTGACTGAACGCTTAAAATGGTTGCTATTGATTTACGTTGAAAAACAAGGGCGCGGACGGAAATTCGAACTAGTCTCTACGGCGGCGCGGACGTCAGACCGTGCGCGGCGAGGAAAACACGCAAAAAACGCAGGTTGAAAGATCGGGTGTTGTCGTCATCAACGGATTTAAATGGTGTTTTGTTTCGGGACAGATGATCACGAACGTTGTAAGACGGATGTCATAGCAAATCGCAACAATTTAATGGTTTAACGTTTAACAACGAGCGGACGGGCGCCGGGAACCGAGGTTGAAAGCACCAGTGAATCACCACGCGATAACGATGATATTATCTCGGACCTCTAGCGAACGATGGAATTGCGGCGGCGGCGGCCAATTGCCCGGTCACTGTCATACCGTTGTTGTACTGCATACCGGTTACCGCTGATAACGGTGGTAACCCGTATGGTTACGTTTAAGAAAAATGTTTTAGTTATGCGGCAACTGGTCACCATGATTTTGGAGGTAAACCGTAAACCATGTCAAGTGACTACCGACTGGAGATTAATTAACTCCGGTACTGTTTTATAACCATTTTTTTAGATTTTTAGAAATTTACCCAATTATACACTGAATCAGTCAGCGTCCATACTATAGATACACTATAATGTGTTTAAAAAGTGAAAATTAATGTATTATTTATATTTTAATCATTTTATATTATTTCTTGTACCTACATGTATGATGTTATACAATAAAATTGTACAGAACTGATCTAAGGAACATAAATAGAAGCGATGAATAAGCTAATTTGCAAAAGTATATGCACGTTCAATTTTATATCTGATTTTTTTTAATACCTATGTATTATACACAAATAAATAATGATTTAACATAATACTGTTACAATAATCGTAGATAGGTACCTAGTACCTATTTAGTATTTGTACTTTGTAGACAATTCATATTTAAAAATTATAATACGTTTTGATAAAAATATCATTATTCATAATAATTAGTTTCTATTTATAAATCAAAATTTTAAACATATTATATAAAAAAAAATAATAAAAACAATAATAATAATAATGATAAAATTAAAGTTAAAAAAGTGTAGGTAAGTTAGTAACTATAGCAATGTTTTGCTATATAATTAATGTTAATATACCCGTAGGTATACATAGGTATTTAACAGAATAGTATAGAGATTAGCATAGGTAATGAGTTGCTTTTGTCTTATAAACGTGCAGGGTACTTAATGCATAGCAAATTTAGGAGAATCTCATTATTATGTAGATATTGTTATTTTCAATACCTACTAAATAATAAGGTGGTAGCGATCATACCTAATTAGAAGGATAAAATTTTGCATTTTATTGGCTTTTATTGATATTTATAAAGTAAATTATAAGCAAAGGTCAGATTATATAGATTTTACATGTTTATTTTCAATATATGAAGTTAAATAGGAGTAAAATATCATTACAATTTATGAAACATTAAATTCATATAAAAAATATTATTTTGCATAAAAAAGTATGTTTTAATGATTGGAGAATATTCAAACATTAGAAAATACTTGAGAATATTTTTACTTTCATATACTGACATACCTAGTAGTTTTTACCACTTCAAAAAGTAATTTAAATAATAAAATTGTGTGCAATCTGTGAGATCATATGATATTTCTGATAAAACTATTTGCAAATTACCGATACTTAAATAGTTTACAATTATTGTTACAGGAAAAATAAACATCAATGGCACCTTTTGTTGAATAACTTAAGAAAAACCATGACGATAGCATTAAAAATCAACGAGTGTTTCGCTGGTAAGATTTGTGTAACGATGAGTAACCATCGATGGCATAGTTATGTCGCGGTGGTTGGATACGATCACAATTCTGGCAGACCTGGTGACGAAGCAGTGTTTGAAAACACGATTTGACAGAGCGCCATTGAATTACCGGTAATTTTAATAAAAATATAAATTATATAGATTAAATCAATAATATTATAGATAATATTCAGTCAACAAAATGCTAATTTATTTTATACATAATACGCAAATATTTGTTAAAATAGAAATTGACCAATTATCATTAATGATTTAATTAACTTTTTGTTTAGTTAACATAGGTACAGTTAGTGACAGCGTAATTACGTGATATATTAATTATATTTTTTAAAATAATTTAAAAGATTTTTGTTAATTTTATCAAATATACAACGTAATATACATAGTGCATCTATATTATTAAGTTTAAAAAAAAATATTTATTAAAATTATTTTATTAATTAATAATATTAATAAATATTAATAAATTTTCATTATTAAACTAAACGAAATTCAAATATTTATAATAATATTAAATACCTAATTAAATCATAAAAATATTTATGCTTGTAAAAAATTAACGTTGTCAACTTTGAACTTAATAGTTATAAATTTAACTAATTTTATAATTCAATTGTATTATTTAGTACTAATGAATTAAAAAAAAAAATCATTTATATTTAATATAGGTGCATCTGTAATATGTAGATAGTGATATTCAAATACTCACAAATAAGTACAAATACAAATTATATTGCTTATATTTCATGTTAAATCCTTCAGATATAGAAAATTTTCTTTGAATTAAATAATATTATGAATTTAATTTAATTAGTGGGCAAAACTGATTAAACATTGAATTTCTAAATAAATTATGATAATATGATAAAAGTTGTATATTTAGTGTTCAGGCTAGGAACATATTTATAATAATACGCGCCACATGATATTGGCTGTTTTATGTTTAGTGCGCCCACATCTACTAGCTTATCTATCTGAAATTGTAATATGCGTGTGCAGATTATGTATATAGATAGGTATACTCATAAGTTATAAGTGTGTACTTTATTTAATTTGACTGTTAAATAAAGGGTAACTAAATAAAAGATAAAACAATAAATAATTGATAACTACATTACTGTATAATAATTTAAAATGGCTAAATAATACAGAAATAAAAATGATTCACAGCAACAGAAAAATGTTTAGTATGAATATTAGCTCCCTGGGCTCAACAAAATAACAATAATAAAAAAATTACCTATTTACCCTTCTGGTTCAATTATATATAAAAAGAGGTAATAATACAAAACGGTGCAGTCATTTCTAATAATTTAAAACGGTGTATATATTGGCAGCCGGCAGCAGTAGTTTTATCTATCATCGATCTACATCAAGTTAGCGGGGTGTAACGGGGACGTACCAGGGCAATAAAACAATAATGTTCTTATTTTAGCTTTTTGTATTCAGAGTCAACACTTAAGATATTCGTCAAAGATTATTTTTTACTCACAATATTATAAAAAATATCAAAAACTATTAACAAATTAGTTAACTTATGAAGTTTAATTAACCGTGAACAATAATCGTAACATTAATATAGTCGTATGATTCTCTATTTCACAAATCACCTATTATTCCTTATCACGAATAAAATAATAAACTGTAGTACCTAAGCTAAATTTTTGTAATTTTGTTTATTATTTAATAATAAAAGTATTGTAAACAAGTGGGTCCCGCTTTAGGCTTTACTATACATTGTGTTAAGTAGTAGGTAATCAGTAATCACTATCATGGGTGTATTAAATTTAAATTCAATGATATAATATTGCATACGAAAAAGGATTTTGAGAGTAGACTTTATCACTAAGTATATTTCATGATATCTTTAACGAAAACGATTTAAGAAACTATGGAAATTGTGTTCAAGGCTTATGGGTGTTAAAACATGTGAACATTGTGAACGTTATATAAAGGGCTTTCGGAATAAATTTTTTTTACTATTCCAAAACGATACCGTCAAACATTTATTACTTATTACCACGAGAGAAATTGAAAGTGAGTCAATATTATACGTACGGTTTGAATACACAGCAATCAATGGAGCGCCTATTATACACTACAAAATTATGTATTAGACAGTGAATTTTCATGAGAAAATTGAAAACTTGTAGCTATTCATTATATATCCGAAAAAATATATATTTCCCGTTTAGATCTTAGCTTTTATTTCTCTTGCCGTCTCGTTGTTAGAATCATATTCAGGTATTTGAGCTGATCCACTCTATCAAAATTTAATTGGCCTATTTTGAAGAGTTTTGCGTGGTTCTGCCTTTTTACAACCGTATATTTTGATTTTTTCTCATTGACATTTAAATGTACTTTATTAACGACTCTTCTAGTTGCCATAAAAATTTTTTAGTTTATTTTACGTCTTTGTCAACGTACCAGGTCATCTGCGACGCCAGTAGTCTTGTAGTATATTCATATAAGTTTACTTTTCATGCTGTTCCATACTCATTTCTCTTATATCTTTTTCCAGTGGAATATTAAAGAATATAAATTATGGTACTTTTCAGTTTACTTCAACGGCCGACGGCGGTGACCGGGAAATGCTGATTCTGTTATCGTACTCTATTATACTTAATACTTAATACTCACAAATATAATTTTGTAGACTCAGAGAGCGGGGCACATATTCAAAATATTGAGTATATAGTTGAGTTATAATTAAATTATAAGCGACATCGTTAATTCATGCCTCCTTCATAAATATATATTTATTTTATTTTCATAAATAATATCATAGTTTATATTTTTGGTAACATATATTTTTATCATACAGCACAGAGTACGATAAATGGAATTAAAAAATAGAGTATAATCCAGTAACGAATTATATAATTATAGATTTCTTCTTTATTTTAAGTTCAAAAATAATTGTTTCATGCAATTTCATATTTTTCATACATAATTTATATGTAATTTAATTTTTGTCGAGTTCAGGTTCAGTTTCTCCAAAATTCTATAATTTTTTTATGTTTTATATAATATTATGCTTAATTCAGCTTGCGTTGTCTTTGTATTAGGTTACACACGTTACCTCAGTTTTTTCAAGTAAAATATAACAATAATTTTTTTTTCGATTTTCTTAAACTCACTGCAATATAAATCCTTGAATACTATGTTCTTATTTTGGATTTGTTAAAAAAAAAAAAATGTCATAATAATTGTTAATGTTAAAATTTCGATGATAACTAAATTTAACCAGAAAGTATAAAATGAAATATTAAACAATAATACTGTGACAAGGTATACCTACTTATTATACGAATAAATATAACACAATTCATTAACCTTTCCTGTTGGTTTAGTAGTATCAATCAATTTAAACTGTCAAGTATCGTATTAATTTCTTGGTTTTTAGTTTTTTGCAACCTAAATAATAACAACTATAAATATGAATACAAAAATTTAAGTTATATTTAGTATAAATATCAAAGA